AGACGAAATACTTTTATTTTTTGTTTTGCACAACATTCAAGTCCAAACCATCAGTTGGATCGATAAAGCCTCTGTATTGAGCGATTTTCCGGTTAAAGTCGCTGGCCAACATGTCGAATGCGCAATATTACTTAGTAGCTTCTTGTGTCAACTTATGCAAATAGCCGGCAATGAAACGGAATAAAAAAACACACTACGGATTGTACAAAAGGGCAGGGAAAACTACAAGTAATAAAAAATGCTAATTTAATGTTATTGTTGCTGTTTGCTTTGTCTTGCTCTTATTTTGTTTGTCGTTTTGACTTTGTCATGTCATTTTGGCGCTTCCTTTGCCTTTCATTTTTTATGCCATTCCGTCGTTGTCTTTGCCAGGCTTTTATCTCCTGCCCGTTTTTTTGTTCCTTTGACACAAACAGGAAATGATTTATGCAGAATTTCTCGGCGCAACTAATTCAAAACTTGCCACGCCTCAGTCAGCCCACATATACGAAGTTTGATTGCCGCACATTTTTTCCGTCCAGTCATTTGAGCTCATATCCTGATTATACCCTTGGAGCCCTGCCTTATTGAAATTTCCGCTCACCGGATATTGGAGAACGCCATTTTGTTATTTATTTGGGCCCTTTCTACATTCGAAATTCGGAACTTGGCAGTGCGGGATATAGACAACGTGAACCTTCACCCTTTGTTGTAGGGCGGCACACCCGAGGCCAGTCATTAACTAATTGCAAGCGAAGAAATTAATAAAAAATCAAAATCGCATTATAGGTCAGCCCCCCTGGAACTCCTGGCATCCACAAAAAAGGCAATCAATTTGATTGTATTTGATGGCTCTGTAGTGGGCCCCCAACCGCAGAAGCAGGACCGTGGGCCATAAATCTTGGGCGCACTTGGGGCCCTCCTTCGCCTTCGGCTCCGTTTCGGTCCTACTAATCCGTATCCTTCCCCGAATCCTCCCACTGCAATTCGCCTGAGTGTCCTGCTGTGCAGCGAGTGTTTGGCATCCAGCAGCAGGCAGCACAATGTCCAAAATGCACACTGCAAATAATACAAAGGACCAAATTGGGAAAAAATGGGATTTCGTTTGGGCGGAGCCTCGCAATTCGGATGCTCTCACCAGAACCCAATGGGTATAGCAAATTGCCACAAAAGATTTAAAGTAAAACCGAAATTTGATATTGAGTTGTAACGAATATGTGGTATTTAAGGGAAGAGCATGGCAGAGCATTATAGACATGTGTCTGGCACATCAACACGTGTTCCATTCTAAAAGCATACATATGTAGCATAACCAAATAAAGCCGAAATCCCTCTGCTAGTCCACAATAGAATAATGGGAAGTAAGGGAAAGGCAAGCTGAGAGCTGGGAAACAACAAAAATCAGCTTCTGATGCGGTCCTGTTCCCCGGACAACCCTAGCCAACCCATCTAGCCCCACCTGACCCCTTCGAGGACCTGAACCCATACTCTGGCCATATTGCTTCGCTTCGCTTTGGTTCGCTTCGGATGGCCCGGGTGCATTAAAAATAAACGACTGTGGGCAGCGCTCAATTTGGAATGAAATTGGCGCAAATACCAAAAATTTATACAATGGCAGATGCAGCAAAAAGGAAATGCGAGCAAGTTGGGATCCCAGGGCAGGGGAGTACCATTCCGAACTAAAGAGCACCAGAGCACAAATTGAAAAGCCATACAAATCAAATTGGGTGGGTGTGAGCGGTAAGTTTATTGGACGACCACGACGTCGACGACGCCGTGTGTGTGTGGGTATGCTTTATAATTTATAAGCGGCCATCAGGAGCGCTCATTATGTGGCACAAAATAAGTAAGTGCCACTCGTTTGTATACAAAGTAAACAGCGTGGGAAAATGCATAAAAAGTGACCAGCGATGAGGGTCATAAATGAGCCTTGAAGTGACCGAGCGGATCGCACACACCCCAGTCCACATCCTTGCAGAACAGAAGGCCCCATGCCACCCGACACACCAGTCGGATATGCCCTACAGCTGTCCATCCGAGCGGAGAAAAATTAGAGGTAAACGAACGATAATCTCGGAAAACATGCACAGAATAATTTATTTCGAGCTTAAAGGGAAGTTGGTAGTTGATATCTAAGAATATGGGACTTTTCAAGAAGTATAGAATTTAAAAACTTTTTTCTTTAAAAAGTGTACCACATTTATTTGTTTAATTTTTTGAAAATCTATATTTAATAAATAAATCAATTATTAATTTTTGTAAACTAAAATTTGTTAATAGCAGTGGCGGATCCAAAATTTGGTTGTGTGAAAATGGGTTCATTAGAAATCAACAAGTTTGGAATAATATACATTTTACAGATACTTTTTAACCCGAGTGGGGGGAGGGGATCTATCCCCTATATACCTGAATTCGAGCATGGTTAATAGATTCAGAAAAGTATAATTACCAATTAAAAAATTATTTCTCGTTTAATTGGATTATTAAAAAATGAAAAAATATTAAAAATAAATTATCACGGTAATTCCGGTACACTGATAAAAAAATAGACAGAAAATAATACCACTTCTTTTCAAATTCCGAATTATATTTAACTTAACCCCGCATACCCAATATATATTTTAAATTATTTAGTGGAAAAGTGTGATATACTAAAATGAACCTGTGGTTATCTATTTGATCCTTACGCTTACACTTTTTTCTATTTTTTGGATACCAAACAAATGAGCTTGCTTTTAACATTTTGGTCGGGTGAAGTAAGACGACAATCGTTCCATTTTTCCATAAGTATGGATGGCACTGTCATGTGGCCTTTAAAGTTGTTGCGTGAAAGCATCGAACTCTTATGGGTCGTTTCTTTTGTCTTCTCATGCCGCCCTTTTGTTGGCCCCCGCGATAATGCAATCAATTTGGTTCCAGTTTGCCAGTTTGTTGTACTCCCTCCGCCTTTCGAAAATCAAAGGATGCAACGGGGAGTCCGGCCAGTGATTGCAATCTCGTTCGATCTCATTTACCCTGAACCGTCCAAGACATTTGACCCTGTGTCCCGAGCCATTTTGGACCGACAACTGAACTTCCAAGACCAATTTAAAGGACCTTCCGCCCTATCAAAATGAACCTCAGCTATCGGCTCACTGCTGCATAAATTATTACCCCGCCCGTTCCATTAATAGATTTTTCACTTTTTCAATGCAAATAACGTGGAGGAATCTGCGAGTTCGGCAGCTCATTCGAAATCAGAGAAGGAAATGCAAGGAATTCCGAGCAAAATTTAATTACTCGAGCTGAACTCACTGCAGGACTGCCGAGAGGACTGAAGGCTGCCTCGCATCCAAGAGATGCAGTGGCACTGGGCAAGTAGCAAAGTCAGTTCGTTTCATTTGTTTATGCATATTTTACGGAATGAGGGGGCTGCACATTAACAGTCAGCAGTCGGGGTGAAAGCGATGGGGTGAAAGGACCAAGAAGCAGAAGGCTCCCCGGGATCCTTCGGCCGGGAAATCGTGGGAGGGGCGGTGGTTTGCCAGCAGAAGTCGCAAGACAGGCTGTTGCCACTGTCGTTGATGCCGCTCCTCTTCTTTTTGCCATTGCTGCCCTTCCTCACTGCGTAAACAGCGAGCTCAGCTCTCTATTCGCCGCCTTAATGACCGTTCGACACCCATCCGTATACGCACCGTGGGCCAAATGGTTTAGGAACTAAGTAAAAAATAAAATAAATATTGCAACTAAAAGTATGCTACAACAATACAGTACTTATGTTAGAATACATTTTTTTGGCAATTATGATTTCCTAAATATTTACATCTTAAGTAACTACAAGATATTAGATACAAATTTTGGGAAAATATAGAGAAAAAGATGTGTTTATTAAGATTTTTGCTAAAAATACTAAATATCTAAAAATACTACCAGATACCTGTTACTACAAAATGTTATATAACAATTTTGGGTAAATACAGAGCAAAAGATGTGATTATTAAGATTTTTGCTAAAAATACTAAATATCTAAAAATACTAAAAATAAAAGAACTCTATAATGAAGTACCTCGACTATCAGATACCTGTTACTATACATGTATTACATAGTGTGTAAAAGATAAAAGGCAGAGTTTCAACCCAATAATCCCAATATTTTCCAAGTTATGAGTAATTGAGCTAAAAAGAATTTCTATTGTCTGGAATTTAATTTTAAAGTTGGTCAACAGAGTAAATGGTATTTAACAGTCGAGGCAGTCGACAATGGCGTTCCTTCTTTGTTTTTTAATAACTAATGTTGTTATAAGAAAATAGGTTTTAAATATAATGGTTCTTGTCATTGATACTTTATTTATAATATGTTGGCATTCCTTGAATTCCTTGTTATATTCCCAATTCCTTCACAGTCGCGAGATCTAGGACCAATGTACTTTCTCTGCTCTTCGTATCACTCCTCCCCAGCGTTATCTCCTTGACCTTATGCTGCGTTTTTAACGAACTTGGAGGTGGGAGTGGCCGTGGGTGGTGGAATCGTTTGCATATTCATTGGTCAGCAGCCCACGCTCACAGCATCCGGGATTGAAGCTAGTCCGCGGGGGTCAGGAGGCGTGGCAGTGCTCATCCACTTGCTTTGAGCGTAAATATTTTAAGTACTTTAAACAATTCATTAATTTACATTTAGCTTTGGCCATGTTGTAGAAAAGTTGTCCATAATTTGGGGAGCAGCTTGAAGAGTCCTTGGAAGTCCAGATAAACGATAGCAACGCTTGCTTCTAAATCAAATGGAACTTTATTGCGAACATGCTTGAATTAAAAGGACTGGTTGAATTTTCAACTACATGAATTAATGTAGGTAATGGTTCATGTAATTTCAAGCCCTTTAAAATAATGTTATATTTACTATTTTTACTTATTCTTGAGGCTCTTAATATTATTTAAACAAAAAATGTATACCTAAGTCACGAATATTTTGAGAATTTTTTCGATTTAAATCCAATCAAAAGATATTTTTTAGTAGCCTAAAATGCACAAATCCTATCAATTTCAGTCCTAAAACTGGTTCGAAAATCGTTTATTTTGATGACATTCGTTTGGGAATGTGCGACACTTTTCTCCATTTGAAGGTGTTTCGCAAATCGATTGAAGAGGCTATCACCGCTCCGATTGAAATGGGAAAATTCTCCATGGGTGCTAAACTCTTAAACATCTGCCGGTAATTGCCAGAAGCAACAATACGGCTCTATCCACCCCATCCACCAATTACCATCAGCTATTTGCGCTGTGCAATTTTCCATTCAAACCATCAGTTGTGCTTATGCTGCCCCTTATCCCCTGTCGCTTCTGCTAATTGCAACAACAATCGCAATGGACTAAACCGAATCCGAGATAGAAATGGAAATGGGGAAAAAGCCGGACAGCAACATCTAGGCCACAAGTCGAACATATCGGGGGCGGGCAAAAGGATCTGAGGGGATAACAAGATGGGCGCATTTTACAAATTATAATCGTCATTTGTCATGGAGGCACTGCACTCGGCAAGGACTCGCCACTCGGACTCGGGCCTTCACCCAGTTTTAGACTGAAATCGGGGGCTGCGCAGGGTTCCTTTCTGATTTTTATTGACACATTGAAATGACAGGGGATAGGGCAGGGCAGACGATGAAAAATTGCTCAATAAAGTGAATTAGCAATGCACTTAGGAGACGAAATGGGAACAATTAGTAGGTTCCGCAGCGCGAAAATATTACGATTTTCCATTAAATTCTATTTTATCAATGATAACCAAATGTCATAAAACTTTGATTACTCCCTAGATTAAATAACACTGTTGCATACTTGGAAATAAAATTGTTTGAAACAATGGTTTGTAAAACGTACAACATCAAATAATTTACTATAGCACTAGCAGTAAATTAAAGTACTTAGTCTCCACATTTCTATTAAAGAACTTGAGGGTTAAAAACCTTACGTTTTGTATTTATGATAATTCTTGAACTTAAATTTAATGAGGATTTTCATATTTTGTTCTCATGTCCGTAAAAATAAGTTTTGCTTTGCTTTTTTAACCGAAATGCGGATTTTTATGCACTTTATAGTACTGAGTAAGCAACGTTACATTATTAATTTTCACAATTAACTCTGATCTGCGGTCGCTGCTTATCACTATACGTAGAGAAATATTCAAGTACATTGTTCTTGAATTGAGAACATTCGTTCTTAAAAGCAATTTGGGTTCAATGTTCTTAATATCAGGACAAAATGGTGAGAAGAGAAAAGTTAATAAGAGTTTATTTAACAACTTTTTGATAAGTATACACTTCTGACTGGACTAATAGTTGTGTTTTTCACACAAGCAATGTCAGTTCAGATTGATTCAAGCACATTGTAAATATTTTCAACTTTAAGAACCTTTTTAACTTAGATAAGAACGTCAGAATTCTCTCTGTATAGTCATATGACTATTAAGTGTGTCACATTGGATATTTCAGGGGAATATGTCCTTTTTCTGTTCAAAAGTGTAACCCACATTGCATTTGATGAAATATAAATTCGTTGCCGATGGTTTTCGATTACGCCCTCCGCCGGCAGCGAACTCCAAAGAGCTCCAGGCCGTGTCGACACTTGCGACTGGTATCCAGAAGGATTTCGCCGAAGGCGTAGCGCATGGTCATGGTCAGGTCCTCGATGTTTCCAATGTCGCAGTTGGCCATCAGCGGCCCGTTGGCCAAGAGTGCCTGGCAGGCCGTTCCGGGCACCAACCGCTCATCGAATCTGGCGAGGGCAATGCAGAATCGCAGCTGCTGGCGCTCCATCAGCCAGCGGATCACCAGCTGCCAGTTGGCCCCACTCCAGTCCAAGTCGTCCTCCAAGCCAGGAAAATAAACCTGATTATTGGCCAAGGGTTCGGAATCAGAAAAGGGAGCCAGTTGCAGCTGAGAGTGTTGCAAACACAAGCTGAACAGAAGGATCAGTGTAATGCTAAGGTGATTCATTCTTAAAAATATAACGTTGCGGTTCCCTAAAAAAATGTATTCAACCACTTCGCGTCTGAGCTCAAGCTAATTTGATTTTAAACTGAAACCCATTTAGACGTTCAAACATTTCTACGTGATATGTGCTTGGTTCTTCAAATGACAGTTTTCAAAGCCAGCACGATGGCAACTTAAGACTCAGAATTTCAGAATTTCAATATTGCGCGGGAACTTATCTTATTATTAGCTTTGTCAAGTTACGAGCCAATTTAATTTAAGATTTTCCTACCACTTTCACTATTTGCATTGTTTACTTTAAAATTTTTGTTATCATTTTTTATAGTAAACTTTGAGTCAGCTGGCTACGTGACTTCCGCTTGCATTTGAGTGCAGCACATGGCTGACTTTATTTTTTATTCCATTTTTTTTTGTTCAGCATTAGACATGAAATTACCAATGTTTGCCAGCAAATATGTATTGATTAAGAGTTGACTCATTGCAACCTAGTAAACGTTGAAGTTGAAAACATCAATACATAAATTTGTAACATTTTGCCAATTAAATTTCTGTCAGACAAACTAAATAAACGTTGTAATTGATATTTCATTTACACAATGTAATTAAAATAAATAACTAAGTTATGTGCCAAAAGGTCCCTTAATTTGATATTTTACCAACATTTGAAGCAACATTTGAATTGTAAAATTAAAAAAAACGACGTAATTGTTAATAATTGAGCAGCAACAAGCCAGGCAAACAAAAAATATTTTTATACCCGGCTGGAAAAACGCATTTGGGTGACACAGCTGTAAAACATTTGCATAGATATACAAAATCCGCCATAAATCCTGGCCAAAAAAGTCAAACTAATAAAAGTCATGGGGACGTGCAGAGGTGGATTGGTGCTGTTGAAGTTGGGATAGTGGTGCTATGTATATGGGGCTGTGGCCTCCCGATTAATTGAAGCAGGTCAGGGGATATATAGAGGTAATACCCACAGCTGTTGCCGCCTCGCAGCACAAAAAAAAAACTTAAAAAAAGGACCAAACGTGCTGAGCAAAGCGGCAGACAAACATTGAAATTATAATTTTTTAATAACAAAACATACACACAAATATTTCTAGTACGTTTTTGGCCAAAAGGCGGGTGGGCGTGGCCAAAGCCCACTTCGGCCACAGCTCGAAAAATGGCGCAAGGGCCATTTGACTATTTTTTGTTGTCTGGGTCCGGAAACAAATTACAGCAAACAATTTAAAAAATGTTTGCAAACAAACAGGAACCAGGAAAAGGAGCAACAAAAAGGGGAATGACGGAAATGTTATCTGGCCAACAAGACAACGGGCACAAAAGCGGATGTACAGTGCAAGGACTGTCGGCCAAATAATTTTGTGGGTGATGGGAAAACGAAATTATTCGCCAAGCGATTTCCTTTTATCACAACTGCAGGCCAAGACAGAGAAACCCAGCTGGGAGGGGCACCCACTGTAGCCAGGGCCCACTGTACTGGCGGAAAGGCTTGGCCAAACAACAGTCGGCCAAGATAAAAGCCTTCATTGTTCGCCGACCTCTTCCCCGGATGCCTTTCTCTGCTCTTAACCTTTTCGTTTCACTTAGTTAAGCAAAAATGAACTTTTTATTAGCAAAATGCATAAATGAATAGAAAATAGTTAAACAAACCCGAATGCAGAGCACGCCCGAACTTCTGCCAGGTGCAGCACCTGTGGTCCCCGAATTTCTGCCACTTCTGGCGTTATTTTTGCTTTTTGCTGAGCTCGGCGGAAAACTCCGGTTCCACTGCCACCAGCACCTTGGCCAATAACTTTTGCGGCCAAATGGGGTTCCTCTGGTTCCCCAACTGGATTTTTCCAGCTCTCCAGGCCATATGTGAAATTGTAAAGCGATTACTTTGGTAATAATAGATAGCTTTAATGGGCAAAAGCAAACTAACTTCGTATTGGCCAATCAAAGACTGCAAAACTGAAAGAAACCCAAACCATTTTTAAAAGCTTTGCAATTATTTGGGCATTACAAAGTTTTATAACAAATGCAGTGCCCAGCCCTCCAACACAGGGGGCGTAAACTTTTTGCGACATATCAATTAACAAATAATATACAAGCTGCCAAACAGAAAAGCCCAAAAGGCAAAACTATCTAAAAACTTGCACATGGGAAACTTGTTTCGCCAAAGCAAATCAGAAAGTCATCATCAGTACGAGCGGGGGAACCCCCATTTGCATTTCGGGCCGTCGAAGAAGTACGTACTACGTAGACAAACTACCGGAATGAAGAGACTGAAAACTGAGTACTGGGAACTGGGAACTGGGAGCTGAGAACTGGGAACTGGGAAGGAGGATAGACCATTTCTGCCTCTGCGCACTTTAAAAGTAATTTATCTTTTTTGCGCCCGTCCACTGGGTATATGCTACATGCAATTTGCATAAAACTTACTTGCCAGGACCCTTTCGGCATTAAATCCACTTTGTCGCCATCTCCTCGTACATCAAACTGAGCTGCTGTTGCTTTTCCCTGCTGTTAATTGCAGCCCTGCTGGCGAATAAGTTTTCAATAAAGCGGCTCGAGAATGGACCCATGCCGGGCTCAACAAACTCTTTTGTTCCATCACTTTCCTAATGACTGGTGTGTGTTTGGCTGTGTTGGCAAAATGTGTCAACGGCAGCTGCAAGTGGCTGAATGCATCAAAGCCAAGTTATCGTGTTCGGTAAATGTGTTAAGCGCCGGCAGGACGACAGGATAGTGGAAAACAATGCCAAAGTTGTTCACGAGCATAAACGTCTTGAAAGATACAGATATTTTATAGATGAGGCATTTGACAACTCTAAGAACAAACGAATAATAATATAAAAAGTTTGAAATCACAGTAAACAGAAACATAAACATTTTTAGGATACAGCAAACAACATAAATAAAATTCTCAAAAGTTTTAATGACATTTATCGTTTGTTTAAGTTCTAGAAAATAAATTATTGAAAGCTTATAGAGGCAAATATCTCTCCATAACTTTTTAGCACTGCCACATATTTTACTAGGATTTTTAAATTAATAAACAGTATGCCATTATATGTTTTGAATCCTACTAGTTTACAATTTTCAGTACATAAATGAATCAAAAATACTTGTTTTTTTGTAAAATGCATTCGCTCTGTGATAAAAATGTTATTTTAAAGTAGATCAGCTATAATTATTATTCGCATTTGAGTAACGCATTTTTTAATTGCAAATTGCAATTGCAATAATTAGCATTGTTTTGTATTTTTCATTACTCTCAGGATTGTCCTATCAGTGCTTGACACAATAAAAAATATATATAAATATATATTGTAAATATTCATGACTAGATTGACAGATAATTAACACAACACTTTATTATTATTTTGCTATTTGTTCCGAAACGAAAACCAGCTTTAATAAAGCAAAGTGCTTACACAGCAAATAGGAATATTTTAAGTGCCCACATGTTTAATTTTTGGGCATTTTCACAGCCACTCTTTAACTGGAAGCAAGGAAACACACCTCATGCATAAGTATTTGATTTTATATTTATAACATTTGTTTGAGGTGATGGTGCAAATAATTAAATACAAATAGAACGCGAACAAACACAATTACAAAACACAAATTCCCGCAAAAAGTGATATAATAAAGCGCCTAAAAGTCGGCAGTGGAAATAAGGCAGTCGAGCGAGTGTGCGAATTTCCACGTTAATTATTTAAGACCGGGAAAAGCACCCAACCCCACCAACCCCTTCCCCAGCTGTCGGCATATTTGTTCGCGTTCGGTGAACGTATTTTCAATTAACAGAAAAACACTCGGATGGCACGGGTCCGCCTCCCAGCCGACGCACAACTTTGATTTGTTTAATTAAATTACACTCAGACAAAGGCTTTCAATCATTCACAGCTCTCCAATCACTCATTGGCTCAATCACGCGCTCAACTTCAACGGAAGTCAATATGCAGCTGCGTGAACGAGTGTGTGCCAGTGTTTGTGATTTAGAAACAACACGACCTACACCCAAACCACTTCACCACCCAGTACAAGTGATGGCCACCAGAAAACTGTGGGTACCTCCTTTTTGTACTTAGCCCCACAAGTGGGCTCAAGTACATTCCAACACTTATACAAAAGTATTTTCCGAAAAAAGATCTTCATTTTGAGGAATGAATCTCTAGTACTTCCGGAATAAAAATTCATGGTTGCATACTTGTACATAACCCTCATTTCCTAATTACAAGTGATATTCACATTTAAAATATATTTTGTATAGCATACTTTTTGGAACCCTGGCTAAGTACCCAAAAAGTCGTTTAAGTCTATTTCATTCTTTCGCTAGCAGTTCCGTTAAGAAAAATGGTACCATTACTTAGAAATTATGTTTTGCAAGATAAATAGTGGTATTTGGCATTGTGTTTGAAACAATTTCTAAGAAGCCCGGGTTCGGTTGAAATATTGTCAAATACATAATTGTTCCAACTTTTAGGTCCTATTTCACAGAATCCTTGTTTAGGAAATAAATTTAAGATCGGCGAATCCAATCTAATGAATATCTGATCATTCTTAGAGGTTTTTGGTGTTACGCATTAGAGTTGTTTGCCCCAGTTTTCTGTTTCAAAAATGGTTTGAAGTAGTCCTTCCCAATTTTTATGTTGCGAAATTTATTAGAATCTCTGTTATTTTAAAGTGGAGGCTACTTTTTGGGTAAATTCCGAATTGTCAAAATGCAATGTACATAAAAACCTAGAGAAATAATTAAGATATTTCAGCATCCTTTAAAATTAAAATTTTTAGTTTTCGACTCACACGGTTTTAAAGGACGAATGTTCTCAATTCAAGAACAATGTTCTTGGATAGTTTTCTCTGTGTAGTTGATATTGTAGTTTTCTACACTTTTTTAATGAAAATTATATAGCTCTAAATTCTGAATTTTAAATGATTGAAAATGGTAGAGCTTACGTTTCATAATCATATAGTTTTTCGATTTTTGTACAGGCGTACCAAAGGAGGTGTACCCTTGCCATCACTGCCCTCCGCCCCCACCCACTGTCCCCACTTCTGGGTATTTGTAGTGTGCTCCAGTACAACTTATCCAAATGCAGTGCAAACCGTTCGCTCAAGTTTGTGTATTCGCTGTTCGCACGGCTCAAGAGAGCTGCCATGGAAGTTGGATTGAATCGTTAATTAATGCATGATAAACTGGAGAGGCAAGGTAAGCACATGGAAAGCAAGACCGACGTGTGTTGTGTTCTGTCCGGGAAATGAAAAGCAGGAAAATAAAACAAGACGGGAAAAGCCGAACAAAGAGTATGCAAATTTATACACGCCTTCATTTAGCCGTTTTGCTTGCGCTTTTTATTTTGTCCTGGAAAAAACAGCTCTACGCATTTTGTTTACACATCCCAACTTTCAGAAATTGAACCTGCCTTCAATTTAAGAAATTGAAAAACCAAGGTTGAAGTAAATTCGTAAAAATAAATAAATATTAAAGAAGGTCCGGAAAACCTTCAAAAGAGCTGCTGCTAAAGCAATTAAAATAAACAATAAGTCAAATCAAGCAGAATATTATTTCATGCTTACAGCTCTCACAGCCAATTTCCATACTAAATTTAAGTTCGTTCTTTGCAAGCTCATGGCTGTTCGATTTTAAAGAATGCTTCCTAGAAACAATAAAAACGCGTTTAAAAGAGCTAGGACCAAATGCATCGTGACCTTGTAGAATATGTGCGAATAACAAATAGTTTTCCGCAGTCCGCATGCCACTTGCATATGCTGAGAAATTTCGCTAGGGGGAATTATTGGGGAATAGTTTCGTAAACATCCAAACAATTTTTCAAATGTCCAAAAAATGTTGACGTTGGAAAACTACTTTACTTTACATTAAGCACATGAAGTAATGCAATACATGGCAATGTTTCTATATAATTGAAAATATATATGAATATAAAATTTAAAAAATGTAAATAACTCTCAATGTTTCTAAAACTAATAACGACCTCTCTTTATTAAACAAATTAAACTATTCAGCAATTTAGTTCCGCTCTTGACGACCATATTTCATCTATTTTTGGTTGAATTGCCCCCATTTTTCAGGAACTAACTAACTGTTGACTAAACAACGCCGAATAAAAAACTGAACAAAACAAAAAACTATTCACAGCTTATCGGCAAACAATAGACCATTGAATAAATATCAAAAGCAAATAGCCATAAATATTTTTCTTTACCCCATTTCTGCCCCGTTTTTTTGAGCAATTTTTTTTTATTATATTTTCACTGTTTTTCCACATGGCGGGAAAATATTTTGAGCCATTCGCAGCGGCGAGTGAAGAGCCGAAAAAAGGGAATCATTTATACCGCTTTAAAAGCCACAATCCGCAGGCCAGAAAGCCAGGGTTCCTGGTTCATGGTCCATGGTGCATGGTCCATGTACCGGGGGATTTGCAGCCGGGACAAAAATGGCAATACGATACATAACGCAATAATGGTAACGTGTAGGCTTTTACGACACCGACATAGAAAACGCGAAAGGCGCGAAGCTTTACGATGCCCGCATCATTTGATTTTATTGCCAAGTGTTGGAGGGGTGAAAAACATGAGTTGGAGCAGGAGCAGACAGATCCGTGCCAACCGAAAGGGGGATGGGTTGAAGGGTCGTCCTTGAGCCAGTTGTTTCTGATTAATGCCATCCGACTTGAAGGATGCAGATGCAGCGGAGCACGGCACAAAATGCAAATCACCCGGCGGAATAATCAAATCGAGAACGAAACTGAGCAAAACGGCATCAAAGTTGGCGACGAACGGAAGCTGCTCCACAAAGGCAACAAACAACACACAATTGCACAGCCCAAGGGCAAAGGACGAACAAGGCGCAAGTGTTCACCTGGGCGGGCTTTCCCACGCCCCCTTTTAGAGAACCCCCAACCCCAAAAGCCACCCCCTTCGATGTGCAGGGGGTGGCAAGGCCAGCAAAATCAATTAATTTAAAAAATATCCATGCATTTGTTGACATTTCTGCAGTTAGACTACCTGGTAGCCCGTAGAAATCAACAAATATTTGCATAACCTGCTCGTTCGCCTGTCTTCTGCCTTGTTTTGCTGCTGTGACATTCCGCATTTATTGACATTTTCTATTTACCAGGCCGGGCTCGGACTGTCTCCCCGTTTTGACAGTTTATTTCATAGGATATTTGTGTCGTTGAACGCCGGATGGGAATTTGCTGAATTGTTGCATGCTTGCTGGCATGCGAGACATTGGCATGTGGCAAAGATTGTTCGAAATATATTGGAATCCCATCTGAAAAGTGCCCTGACTCGAACGGATGTCGGTTTCGGTATAGAGGGGATGAGGATAAGCGCAGTTGATTGAAGCTAACCACGTTGAGTAGAAAAGAGGTGGTGTGTGAATCATATATCCTTACTGCACGGCAAATACTATGCATACAAAACTTTAAAACTATGAAAACTTTAGACGAAATGCCAAAAACATTCATTCAATTTCAATTAATCGTTTCGCTTTGGTATTAAAATAAAAATAATGATTTCTGCGTTTATTTTCGATTTTTATTACGCTAAAAGCGTTTAAAGTTCGTTTGCAATTTAAAATAATATATATGTATCTCCAATAATTGTAATATCTCAAAGTTAAGATTTATAATCCCAATATCAAGTCTTTTTTAAAATACTATATTAAGTTTTGAGGAACTAAAGATTATTACCTTTTATTAGATAAACATTAAAAAATATTTTAATTATGAAATTCTTGTAGCTTCCGAATTAGCAATAAATAGTTAAATAAATCTTAAGGTGAGTGTTTAAGCTTCACATCCTATAAGAATTTCAAATAAAATTAGTATTCAGCTGTGATGTTTTGTGACTAGCCAGCATCATGAATATTCAATATTTATTATTCAATTTGCCTTTGTTTTTAGACATCTATGACCCTCTGCCTAAAAGCCCAGAATGTGATTCATTTGGAGTTTCGTCACCAACTGCTCATGCTGGACAGAATAGATGAGGATAAATACACCATCAGTCGGATTTTTTATCTTCTCACTTGAAATTATTGAAGACATGGTTTTCTTAGTATATTTTAATGATTTTAATGAATGTGATTCGTTTCGTTAATGTTATCATATAATCCGTACAATAAACATAATACATAATAGTTATCTCTCCTGCACTAAATACAAAGTTATACATGGTGTTGAATATAGAATATTTATATGGTATATATATATTTTCCAACTCTACCTTTTGGCCAAAATAAAATATAAAAAATCAAGAACAAAATCGTGAGGGGACACTTTTTAAATAATTTGGCTTCTCTTATTATCTTTAAGGATGGTCGATTTTTTTGGTTCACTGACAATTGCTTTTTGGGGCCCTCACAAAATATACATAGTAGAGATTTGACAACTCGCGTGCATCGGAAAGCTATCCGGGACTAACGTACTTGTTTGCATCCTTTTGACAGACTGGAGACAAAGTTCGTTTGGAAAAACTAAAGCCAACCAAGTGAAGGGCATTATTTTATTCCAGCGGTCTTACCGCTGCTGCTGGTAGATAGGAATGTTGTTTTTGACAGCATCGTTCTGCATGTGATAGCCGGGCGCCCCAACTGGTGGTCCTCCAGCCATGGACATGGCCATATGCTGGTGCAGCTGACTGAACTGATCGTGTGGTGGGTGCTGCTGTGGCGCCTGCTGTTGCTGATGCTGCTGTGCTGACATGTAGCTCTGTGGGTTGACGGCTGGCGATCCGTTCGGTGCATAAAGATTTGGTCCTGGCTGGTAGCCCTGCGGAGGCGGCGGCTGCTGATGTTGCGGCGACATGTAGGCGTGGGGAGCTGGAGGCTGCTGCGGCTGCTGGATTTGTGATACTGCGGGCGGAACCTGGGCGTACTGCGCCTGGGGGTCGATGTGGTAGCTGTTCTGGGGATGCTGTGGTGGCTGCTGGGGATGCTGTGGCGGCTGCTGAGGGTGTTGGGGTAGCGGCTGCTGTTGTTGAGTGGTCACAGGAGTGGGCTGGCTGTAGATGGGCTGCGGCAAAGGAGCAGCACCAGCTGGCTGAGTCAAATGGGCTGGCAGCGCTAAGTGAGGGATTGAAAGTTTATTATTAGTTAATAATTGAATTTTAACCGTAACCTTATTTAAACACTCTTTAAACTGATTACTGTTTTCTCAATATACTCACAATTCATCTGTGCGGCATGCCCATTTTGATAGGGCAGTGGCACCTGTCCTTGAGGTTGTCCCAGATAGCCACCAGGAGCTCCAGGGGCCTGCGATGGAGCACCATTGGGAGGATTTGGTACGGGGCCATATGGCAGCGAATGCATGCCCGGATAGTTTTGGGCCGGAGGGAATCCACCCGCTGCGGGGTAGCCTGGAGCGCCGTACAGAGCGGCACCCGGAAAACCAGCAAGTCCAGGCATAAAGCCGCCAGCAGCGGCTGCAAATTGTCCAGCGGCAACCCGATCGTCCCGCATCAGGGTATGGTAAAGATTGATGGCGTCCACAAGATCGCTAGACAGCTGCGTCAGCTGGGCGTGTTTGCGATCCACCCGCTCCAGCTCAGCGTCAATCAGAGGACCCATCTGATGGACCTCCTGCTCCAGCTGCAGCATCTCGTCGCTGTCCTGCGATGGATCCTCGGGATTCGCTTCGTGGAGCAGATGCAGCAGCCGATCAATCTTTGACTCGTCGATCTCTACGGGCTGAGCTGCTGCGGCAGCGGCTGCTGCTTCAGTCTTTTGCTGCAGGGCCGCAGCGGAGTCCAACTCTCGTTGCCCGGCGGCGGCGGCCGACTTATGCTGCTGATTGATGTCCAGGCGCTCAGGATCGACGGACAGATCGGCAGTGACAAAGTTCGAGGGGAAGAGACCCTCGCCACGCTGGTTATAGCCCTTCCACCAGTTGGGATCGCTGTCGTCCAGCACGTGAATAATTTCACCCGCGACGAAGGTCAGTTCGTTCTCCTCCGCCGCCTCAAAGTCGTACAAAGCGCGAACCTTTCTCGGCTCCGGAGCAGGAGCTGCATTCGGTTCGCTGCTAGGAGCGGTGGAGGTGGCTCCGCCAAAAGAGGGATACAACGACGGATAAGCACTAGTGGTGCCGGTACTTGCTCCACTTGCAGTCTTTGGACTACCCTTATTCTCCTTCAACGACAGTTCTATGGCCTTGGCTATGTCGTCCTCCTCCTGCTGGCTGCTAACCACGTTGGGATCCTTGGGCAAGGCGGCGGCCTTCTCGGCGACTGTCTTGGTGGTCTTATCGCCCAGATTCTTGAAGTCATAGCCCTCTATGCGCAGCTTGGTGTAAAGGGCGGGTATCAAGTCCAACTCCCGATCGTTCTTGTAGTCGTTATCAGCCCAGTTCTTCAGCACTTGCCGCATTTTCTGCGGGTGACAAGAGATGCTTTAGTTAGGGGATAGCTAGACATGGATTCCCTGGACTTACCAGCGAAACTTTGGCCTGGGCCTTGCCCAGCAGCCGGCGGAATTCGGTCTCGAAATCCCTTGAAGCCACCTCCAAGTGGAAGGGTTTTCCACAGTTATTGGACAAAGCATCCAGCAGCGTGATCGCCTGCATCACCACGTGGGGATCGGTGTGACCCATGCGGCGCATCACCGCCTTCAAGCAATCCTTGGCCAGGCGAGGATTGGTCGAGACCTTGTCGCAGACATCCAGGATCAGGGACCAGTTGTCGTTGGTGTTCGTCTCGCTGGTGGCCTTTTCTATTAAATTGGAAACAAAGAACTAAATTAGCTTATCAGTGGTGGACTAGAAATCCTGATGTGACTCATGGGCAAACAAAGATAAGCCAGTACGTAAACTGATTGGAATAATAAAAGAAAATCAATATAACTTGGGAACTTGTTAAATTGCATTAGGGGAGGGGGTGGCTGTGGGCGGAGGGGGTGGTTTGAGTGCTACGTCACTCAAGGTCAGCGACTGCCAGCCGAAAACTCCAATAGGAAGTTCAACGAACGACGCAGAGCTGCGCACAGCATCTCACATGACCTTCTTTGTTGTCTGGTTAATTGGAAAGCGGGTCCACTGGGAAAAGGGGTAATGTGCAGGGGTCCCAGCCCGCAGATAAGAATAGAAAACTATGAAACGCAGTGGTCATTTGTGCAGTCCAGTTGGAACTGCGCCACCTCCAATCAGCCAACCAACCCACCCGGTTATCGATAGACTCACCCACGTCGGCGTCGAAAGGCGACGACTGCCCAAAGATTCCCATCTTTATGACCAAACGCTCTGCTCGCTCAGCTATCTGCCAACAATCTGCGCTGCCCCGGGGTCAATAAAATCCAAATCAGTGAATCTTTGTCTGGTTTCCCTATTGTTTTTCCCTTGAAATCGATTTTAACGGCGTCACGTCGTTTACAAGACGACTTTCCAGCTGTTTTTCGGTGCGGAAACCTTTGCGATTTTCCTCTGTAGTCTGTGGAGTGCTCAAATCACTTCGATCTCGCCTATATCCGACAAATAACGATTGCAAATTCGCTTAATTTGCGTTTATTGTGTAAAAAAGTGACTAATGGCGAGTGTGAACAGTTGGCCAGTAGACGCAAAACGTAAAGTATCGATACCTACATTAGGGTCATCCGTGTGTTTCAACTATTTATCGGTGACTACTCAGTCCATCGAAGGTGACGGAAACATTTTTATAGGATTATACTTAATTCGAGTATATTTAAAAAAATAAGGAGTATTAGATTAAAAAAATGCATAGCTTTCCATGATTTGGGATATAACGCGTACAAACATATAATAAAACGAATTTCTTTGTCAAACATCATTACAATTTTTCGGAAAATCGTGCGCCACCAAAGAAGACGATTTTAAGCAAATTATAAATTTTAGATATGTAGTTACCTAGCCGTATTCGAAGTCACTTAACTATTCTCATCACAAGTCACCGAATTTGGCGTTCGTAGTATGCGGCCACACTGTTCTCAGCATTCGAAAAAAACGCGCAAATAGAGGGGACGCCAAACGAAAAACTGATTTAAAAACAACGTTTTAATTGATTTCATCGCATTGTAAGTGAAAAGCCGGCGACATGACGCTTTCCCGTACAAAGCACGCCAACCGGAACCACCTGCCGCACCTGCTGACCAAGGTGCCCGAGGAGCACCAGGAGCCGATTAAGAATATGTGCCTCAAGATGATGTCCCACGACGCCTACGGCCAACCGTGTGTAAAGCTTATAAAATCCTTGAAAGCATATTAACTTTGGCTCCCCTAGGTACGATTGGAGTTCCCGCGACTTCGAAATGGGCGCCCACTTGGGCCGCGGGAAGTTTGGTCGCGTTTACCTGGCCAGGGAACGCCACTCGCACTACCTGGTGGCCATGAAGGTCATGTTCAAGGAGGAGCTGCGCAAGGGCTGTGTGCAGCGCCAGGTTCTGCGCGAGATCGAGATCCAGTCGCGACTAAAGCACCCGCACATCCTGCGCCTGCTCACCTGGTTCCACGACGAGAGCCGCATCTATCTGGCTCTGGAGATCGCCTCAGAGGGCGAGCTGTTCAAGCATCTGCGCGGAGCTCCCAATCACCGATTCGATGAACCCAGGGCTGCCAAATACACCTACCAGGTGGCCAATGCCCTCAACTACTGCCATTTGAACAACGTGATCCATCGGGATCTGAAGCCGGAGAACATCCTTCTGACCAGCACCGACGATCTGAAGCTGGCCGACTTTGGTTGGTCGGCGCACACGCCCAACAACAAGCGAAGGACTCTGTGCGGCACATTGGATTACCTGCCGCCGGAGATGGTGGACGGCAACTCCTACGACGACTCTGTTGACCAGTGGTGCCTGGGCATCTTGTGCTACGAGTTTGTCGTTGGGTGCCCGCCCTTCGAGTCGAACAGCACGGAGAGCACATACAGCAAGATCAGGCGCATGGAGATTTCCTATCCGCCGCATTTGTCCAAGGGCTGCAAGGAGCTGATTGGCGGGGTAAGATGATTGCTTTCTCTATGCTA